ATCCCGCAGGCTTCCCGGACAGGCTCCCCCTGGGACGCCGGCGCCGCCAGCTCCTAGCTGCTCCAGGCAGGGCGCGCACGGCGGCTCCACGCACCCCCGGCCCGCGCGCGTGTCCAGGCAGCAGCCCCAGCCCCCGTGCCCAGGGGGCACACAGGCAGATCCTGGAAGCGACCTCGGGTGGTCACTTTTTATAAACCTCCATCGCTCCCGCTTCGCACTGAATAGACGCTATAGACTGAGAGCTTGTGAGCGCCCGGAACTCTCTGGAACTTCTCGTTTACCCGGCACCCGGGCAGTTCGCGCGCAGTTCCCAGAATGAGGAACGCGGCCCCCAGATGCAGGCTTCTTGGCGACCCCTCGCTCCTCTGCCCAATTCAGCTACGACGTGAGCGAAGGGAGGGCGGATCCCAAGGCCTCCTTGTCTGTGGGCGCCGAGTTCTAGGGGAGGTTAAACGCCCAAACTTGGGGCGCGGGTTCCCTGCGTGGGGCGGCCGAGGAGGGAGGGCGAGCCACGCAGTGCGCCCGAGGCGCTGCTAAGGAGGCGGGGATCCGGTCCCGCGCCTCCTGCACCTCCTGCCGCGAAGTCAGCCCGCGGGCTCCGAGCGCTTCCCACGGGGCGCCTGGGACCTCCTCCCTCCGAAAGAGCGCGCTGCCCGCCCCTGCCCGGAGGGTGCGGTGGCACCCGCGTTCTGGGGAGAGAGAGCAGCATTTGGTCGGCTGGGGTGGGATGGCGAGCCTAGGCGCTGGAGCTCACGGGGGCCGGGTGTCGCGCGTGGAGCCCCGGGGCGGGCAGACTCGCTGCTCTTGCGCCCTCCCCAGTGGCGCTGGCCAAGTGGGAGAGCTTTTCCACTCGCCCTGACGAAGGGATGGGACCTTTTCAAACCGCCGATCCTTAGCCAGGTGTGGCTTGGGACATTTCAAAATGCGCAGTGGTCAGCAGTCTGGGGTCTGGCCTCAGTCACTTGAAATGGAATCTCAAGTCCTGGGCTTTGCCCTGTGACCTGAGCAAATCCATGCTTCATTTCCCAGTATTTCGATTTTTTTTTCCTTTTGACAGCGAGAGCTCCGATTGGCTGATTCAATCCCCAAATATCCACCAAGGAGCCAGGGGTCGACAACACAATCTGGGTCTCCCACGTAGGCGGCAGGAACTCAATTACTTGAGCCATCACCTGCTGCCTCCCCGGTCTACACTGGCAGGAAGCTGGAGTCGGGAACCAGGCATTCCGATGTGGGGCAGATGGCACTGACTCTGGCCTTCCCCTGGAAAGAGAGGAGTGCCTCCTACTGGGAACCCGCCAACCTGGGCTCTGCCTAAGAGTTCCAGCCCCGAGTCAAGGGGCGGTTATCCCCCAGGGTGGTGTTCCCCGCCATTCATTGCTTCATTCACTGCTCCAGTCATCCATGCGACAGATGTGTGCCAACTCCCGAAGTCGGCATCAGAGAGACAGCAGCTCTGAACTTGTGTTCCAGCAGGAAGACAGAGAATAAACCAATGAAATTCACAAATGTGGGCCATAATGTCAGATCATGATAGATGTGGGAGAAGAGGTGTCTGACTCCCACACAGTGAAGACGCTGTGCACGGACACTGCCTGACGTGTCAAGGCAGGCGGTGAGCCAGGGGGAGCTTAGCTGTGGGAGAGGTATCCCCCTGGAGAACAGAGACCAGGCAGTAGGGCTGAGCTCTGCACCCTCTGTGTGGCCAGCAGGTAGAAGTGTGCAGCACCGTTGCCAAGCAACCACTTGGGAGAGGTTGAGGGCTTTTGTATTTGTCTCAGGTCACACCCTCCAGTGATGTCCCGCAGATGCAGGCACACACACTCACGTTTCCTGGGTCTGTCTAGAAAGCTCAATGCAGAAGCTAGGAGGCTCTGGCTCCAAGATGGCAGGACCTTGGCAAGACCAGAGAGACTCTGGCTGAAGGCATCAAAATGCCTCCCCGCCCCACTTCAAGTGCCCTGAGGTTCGAATCCCCAGGTGGCCAGGAAAATTTTGAATAATGAGGCAGTTAATTAAGCAGGTAATAAAAGCCCAGGATGGGGAGGGAGGTGGGGGCAAGGCAGCAGAAGAGAGCTGTCTGCAAAGGGGACGGCTGTGTGGAGTGCACCTGGCTCAGAGGTGTCTGGGAATACTGTGTAAATGCCACTGTCCCATCCTGAGGTGGCAGCTCACCTCTGTCATCTTCCCTTGTCTCCAGGCAAGCAATGGGGAGAAGTGGAGGGGCTGTCGCCACCACGTGGGTGCCCACAGGCAGCTTTGGCACTGGGGACGGGGATCGCCTGCTGGCTTGGAACTTTTTCACCAGAATGCGTCTTTCTGGGAACCGCATCGTCTTCCTTCCTCCCTTCGTTCAACATACATTTTAGGAGTGCCTGTGATATGCCGTGCCCTGCGGTGAATGAGACAGGCCCGCCTCCCACTCCTACTCCAAGAGAGCAGCCTGTTCTTGGGGGCGCAGGCCCAGGAAGGGCTAGCATGCTATTCATTGTGTTTTTTAAAGATTTATTTGAAAGTCAGAGTTACAGAGAAGGAGAGGCAGAGTGGGGGTGGGGGTCTTCCTTCCGCTGGTTCACTCCCCAGATGGCTGTGACAAGCAGAGCTGCACCAATCCAAAGCCAGGAGCCAGGAGCCTGGAGCCTCTTCCTGGTCTCCCACGCGGGTGCAGGGGCCCAAGGACTTGGGTCATCTACTACTTTCCCAGGCCACAGCAGAGAGCCGGATCAGTGAACAGCCAGGATGCAAACTGGCACCCCCCTTTTGGGATGCCGGCACTGCAGGTGGCGGCTTTACCTGCAATGCCACAGCACTGACCCCTGTTGCTCGATTCTTAAAGAGGTGGGTGGTCGACCAGTTGTCCTTGACTGGGGAGACCAAGAATCTTGGAACTTGGGATTTCACTGAGCTGTTGGAAGGGAGTGAGAGTCTTGCAGCTTTAGCTTTAATATTTTATTCCACATTTATTTGTGGGGCAACAAGTACCCAGGAGGCTGTCTCAAGGGAGCCACTGATCTGTGGGGTTGAGATGCCCACAAGGTCAAACAAACTGGCAAGCAGACAACCAGGAGGTCTCTGACAGAAATGGGTAAGTGAACGTGTCAACCTGCATAGAAAAAGATAGGAGGACTTCCTGGAGGAAGGCGCTCTAGCTTGAACTTGGAATCATTAACCAAATGCAAAAGATGACCCGGGAAACTGAGGTAGAGTGAACCATCTGTGCGACGGTGCGCAGGCGAGAGAACTGAGCAGGATCCAGGAACTAGAAGGGAAGCTTGGGCCAGCACGAGTGTTTAGGAAAATGATTTAGCTTCTTTGAGACTCAGTATACCCATGTGCAAAATAGGTACGGTAAGGGGAGCATGGCCAGATTGGGGGGGTACTTCCGGTACAATGTCCACTCAACAAATAGGAGACCCTCACATGGGCTGGTGAGACTGACTGGTCAGAGATCCAGGTCCTACGTGCAGAGGGGGAGGGCTTGGGGCTTGCATGCCCCTGGCTCAGGTTGAGGAATATCTTTATTAACGAGCACTTCAAGGTAAACGCCTGATGGAAACCAGATGTGGGATCGCGCACTTCGGAGTAGAGAAAGGACCAGAGATACCAAGGGCAGGTTGGGGCCAGGAACAGCCCGGATGAGATTAGGGGATGTTTTTTCTTGAGGGTGCCTTGGGTGCACCACACTCACAGTTTAGAGAGCTCAGGCCCAGGTCTCATTTCACATAGCCCTTTCACCTCTCACCCCACTCCCAGCCTCCACTGCCCCACATCCTCCATTTGATTACTTTCCACGGCGGTTGAAGGAGAGCCAGAACTCCCCGGTGTGCTCTTTGGGGCTTGGCCGTGGGCATCTCATGCCCAGGTCCTGCAGGGGTTAACCTCAGCATGGGTTCGAGGCTGGAGCTGCGCCTTCCCGGCTGGGTGACCTCGACCAGGGGACTGCGCCTTCCTGGGCTTTAACGGCTCGTCGGGAAATCGGGGCCCCAGTTGCTACCATTCACGGTGGTGCTGAGGCCCGGCCCGGCTAGGCGCCTTGGACAGTAGGGCCACTTCGAGGTGGGTAACACTTCGGTAAAAATTCTCCCTCTGCGCCGGTCTCGGACCCCCAGGGCGACCGTCGCTGGCGGAAACCAGAATCCACCGAATCCAAGCCGCTGGTTTTCACAGTCCAGCGCGGGGAGGTCAGAGACACACCTCCACCCAGCCACGAGTGAGCAGGTGACGGCGCGACAATTGGGCTCAGGCCGGGCCGGGGAGGGTCTCGGGACTCCTCTCTCTTCATCTCGCCGGCTGTCTGGGCACAGACTTGGGACGTGAGCGGCTGCGCCTCGGGCAGGGAGGGGAGGGGGTCGCGTCCCAAAGCTCGCAAAGTCGGGCCCAGCCGAGGGTTTCTCCCGGGCGCAGGGAATGTAGACCCCGCCGCAGCGTAGCCAGCGCCCCTACAGGGGGAGGGGCAATCGTTATCAAGACGGGAAGGTGAGCGTGCCAGTGGCGACCACGGTGTGAATTTCGTGGCGGCACCGGCCTGGGGAGGAGGGTTTGGAAACGGAGGGAAAGGTACCAGCAGCAAGGCCTGAGGCTGTGCCAAGTTGAGCGCAAGACTCCCAACCAGCCGCCTGCACGCGCGGGGCCCGCAGCGCAGCGGACTCGGAATGTCAAACCCTGTTAGGGTCTCCCCCTCCCCCTTTTTACCTGTCATTAAAATTCGCATTCCCTCATCCTCGAGGCCAGAGCTCCGACAACCCACTAATTCGCAGCCAGCCTGGGAAGCCCCCCCCCGGGGGGGGGGCTGGCACCTCCCCATCCCCGCCCGGACTCGGAAAGGCCCTTGGGCGCCTCCGGGTTGAAAGTCCCGCTGGCGAGTTTGAAAAGTCTCCTAAGAAGGGGAAAGGAGGGGCAGGGGCGGGGGGAAGGAGAATAGGGAGAGGGGAGGAGAGGGAGGAGGAAGAGGAGGAGGAAGAGGAGAAGGAGGAGAAGGAGGGGGGTGGGGGAGAGGAGGAGGAGAGCAAGTCAACAACAACAAAAAATCATTCTTTTTTCCGCCTCAAAACCTTAGGAGGGTTTGGGAGATCTGGTCAACTTTCCGAAACATCTGAATCCTTTTTGCAGCCCTTGGTTCTTTCCCTGGGCCAGCTGTAGGGAGAGAGGAGGGGAAGAGAGGGAGAGAGAGAGAGAGAGAGAGAGAGAGCGAGCGAGCAGGCTGGCGCGGAGGGGGAGGAGGGAGCGAGCGAGCGAGCGAGCAGGCCGGGCGCGGAGCGCACAGCCACCGCCTCCTCGCCTCTCCAAACTCCGGGCCAAGGCGCGCGGTGGCGTCCTCGCGCCCTCGCTCGCGCCCCCGCCCGTCTCCCGCGCGAGCCAGGCATGAACGCTGAGACTTGCGTCTCTTACTGCGAGTCGCCGGCCGCTGCCATGGACGCCTACTACAGCCCGGTGTCGCAGAGCCGGGAGGGCTCGTCGCCTTTTAGGGGATTTCCCGGCGGCGACAAGTTCGGCACAAGTTTCCTGTCGGCCGCCGCCAAAGGGCAGGCATTCGGGGACGCCAAGAGCCGGGCCCGCTACGGCGCGGGGCAGCAGGACCTGGCGGCACCCCTGGAAAGCGGCACCGGGGCGCGGGGCTCCTTCAACAAGTTCCAGCCCCAGCCGCCCACCCCGCAGCCCCAGCCGCCCGCGCAGCAACCGCATCTCTACATGCCGCGAGGCGCCTGCAAGACGCCCCCGGACGGCAGCCTCAAACTGCAGGAAGGCAGCGGCGGCCACAACGCGGCCTTGCAGGTCCCCTGCTACGGTGAGTGCACGTGCGGGACCGGGGACCTGGAGCTCCGAGGCTTCGTCGAGTCGGCGGGCTGGGCAGGCGCGGGCCGAGCGGCGGGTGACTCCGGCTCGGACAATGAGGATCCAGGGTTGCGAGGGGACTCAGAGGTCCGTTCGCCTCCTACAAGTCCCCGGCAGCCAGGCGTGCGCGGCATTGTGTTTGTATTAGAGTCGACCTGGAGTTTGGTTTTCCCAAATCTCTTCGCTTTGCGCCGCTCGCGCGGCGGGATTGGAAGCGGCTGCTTGGTAGGAGCTCAAGGCGTGAGCTAAGAAGGAGTCGCCGCGCAGCGCTTCGGCGCGGGGCGGCTCCGGCGGCCGCCGAGGCCTCGCTCCGCTGGTGCCCCGCGGCTCCTCCGATTGTGCCGCAGGTGAGGGCATCGCAGGTGCGGAACCGGGCGGGGAGCCCGGAGCGCAGGCGGCGGCCGAGCGCGCTCGAGAACCCGCGGCACAGCAGTGAGCGCCACCGCGGCGGGACCCGAGACCCCGGGGCCCGGAGCGCGGCTGGCGAATGGGGAGGCGGGCAGGCCGGAGTCCCCGGGCGCTTCTCCCTCGGCCGTCGCTGGAGGCGGACGGCCTCGGAGCAAAGGTGTAGGACCGACTGGGCGGGGAGGCAGGAAGCCGCGGAGCCCCTCAAGGCTCGGGGCTGTAGGAAGAGGGAAACTCTAGGGTCTGAGTTGGACGCCCCGGGAGCCCGAGAGAGCTGGCCTGAATGACCTCCAAGCCCCCTTGAGCGCGGCGGCAGCTAGCAGGCCTGGGCTGCCGAAGCGCCCCGACCTTTGGGGAACCAGGCTCTGTTCAAGGGCGGTGAGGACCAGAGCCGTTAAGTGCCCTTGGCGTTCCTGTCCTCCGCAGCATCAGGGTTGGGAACCCCAAACGGGAAGGAAGAGAAACCCCCTTGTCTGGGTACAGCTTGTCCCTCTGCGATCTGGCGGGGTGAGCTGGCCCTGACCCGGCACCAAATTGGGCTGCCCTGATGCCGGCAGCGGGATGGAGAGGCACTGGGCCTGGGGCCGGAGGTGGGACATCGGGGACAGAAGGGTGGCTGGAACAGCTACTGAGACTCATAACTAGTTTGTAGGTGGTTATTGATGCACAAAACATCCATATAATGGTACACTTGTCTACACTCGCATTCTACACACACACACACAAACACACGCCTTTTCTACCAGCTTTCTATGTATGGCCTTGAGCAAGTTACACACTCCCTAGCCAGAGGTGCCCTGCTGAAGGCAAATTTAGGATGCTCCCGTGGCTGCCCCAGCTTCCTTCCCACAGACACCGGGCTCCACGCAGGTGCTCCTTCCACGCCCAGCTCCTCCGGGCTCTCAGCCTGGGCCACAGACACCACGCTGGCCTCTCCCGAGCCCTGTCCTGGTCTCTTCTACAGGAGTGGCCGTAGAGTGGGAGGGAGACTCCAGGAGGCTCCACGTGCAGAGCTGGGGGGACCGGCATGCTTTCTGGCCCCCCGAGCTGGCCTGTCCTATTTTAAAGAATTCACCAGTGAGGCTTCTGAGGAGGCCTAGACCTTGGGCAAGAAGAGAACCCTAGCAGCTGCCAGCCTCCAAGTTAGAAGACGCCATCCGGCCCCGAGGGGGAGGGGAGGGCTGCTCCTTCATGGAGCCTGCTGGACCCCCATGGCCAGCCTCTGCAGTCCTCTACTGCATTTAGTTATAGGGGCTAAGGGACGGGCCCGACCCCTTGACCTGGGACTGCCCCTGACCCATGGTGTGACCCCGGAGCCAGTAACTCCTCTAAGCCCTGTCCCTCGTCTGGATCGCGGTGTGGTCATAGAGAGTCCTGGCTGGGTTATAAAAGTCCCCCGGTGGAGCCGTCCTCCTGTGCCTCTCCGTCGTCCATCTGTGCAACCCGAGAGCACCCAGCCAGGCCCCTGCCTCGGCTCCAGCCAGGGTCATAAGCAGCAAGTGGTGGGGAGAGGCGGCCTCCGGCTGGGACAGTACCCGCTCCCCTGCTGTCCTGTGCTCAGGGCCCAGCCACAAGCAGCAGACAGCAAATCACTCTTGAATTCTTTGCCCTGTCTCTGGCCTGGAGGAGACCGCTGGTCCTTGGAGGGAAGGGCTTCAGCACATGAGGTCCAGAATGGGGAAACTGAGGCACTCACAGGAGAGGTGCTGCCTGCCCTTTACAGAGGTAGCTCTGTGAAATGTCACAAAGCGGGGAGACTCAGGCACACCTTGACAACGGGTCCCTCCCGCGGCAGCAGGAACCTGCACTCCAAAGGGCGAAAATGGAGCTCCAGGAAAAAGCCTTGGATGTTCCCAGAAGTGCAGGGAGAGGCGGAGGCAGACGCCTTCTGCTAGGCCTGGCCCTGGCTGATCGCTGTCCCTGCCGCCAGAGGCTTAGGGCTCGCAAACCTTCGCGGCGCGGGGCTCCGGGGCCGAAAGCAACTCCATGGCCTGCGTCGCTACGGCGAGCCTCCTCCCGCGCTTCCCTGCGCTCCCTCTACAAGGGCGGTGCGGATCTGGGGGCTGCGCCAGGACACTGCCGAGGGAGTGCGGGGCCGGGAAGCCGGCTCGAGGCGCTGGCTCAGTGTCTTCTCGGAGTTGCAGAGACAAGAAGGGGAGAGAAATCCTACCAGGCTGCAGGCGTCCCTACCCCGTCCTGGGCCTCCGTGTCCCCGTCAGCACAGGGACCGAGGTGACTCTGGGGTCTGCGGTGGGCGCAGACATTCGCGGTTTAACGAAAGAGCCGCGAGTCCTCGCCTGCTGCGATCCCGGCCCCGCCAAGCTCCCACCAAGCTCGGAGTCCGCACTCGGGCTTCTCCAAGCCCCTACCGGAGCCCAGGGCAGGCTGCCTGGGCCCACGAGACGCGCCCAGTCGGAGACCCGACGTTCCGCGGCGGCGCGAAGAGCCTCCTTGTCGCCGGGACCGGGGCTCCGGTGCCTCGCGCCGATACCCTGGGCCCGGTTCCGGGAGCCAGAGCCAGAACCAGGCCTTGCCCATAGGTTCCGGGCGCGGGGGGCGGCTGCGGGGAGCTGACCTGCGCCCTCCTCTTTCGCTTTCGATTCGGTGCTCGCAGGTTTTCCCTGCGAGCGGACCGCTGCCTGCCCACCCACCTGCCCCCAAAGCAGCGCGCTCCGCCGCTCCCGGGTCGGGGCAGACGCGGGCCGGACGGCATCCATCCCCAGGGGCGCCGCCGCGGGGGCCCGTCCGGAGTTTTGGAATTAGTCGCCTTCTTCGAAGGCTAGCGGTATTTATTATTCCCGAACAGACAGGATCCACACATCACGAAACTAACTTCTCCCGGGGTCGTATAGGTATTTAATCAAAAGAACAGGATGTATTTTCGTATGTGAGAGACCAAGAAGGGGAGACGTGGGCCGAAGCAGCAAGAGCCCGCACACAACTGAGGGACACCATCCAGGGCAAACCGGAACCTGGGAGCCAAGGGGTGGTCGCGAAGGCGGCGACCCCAGGCCGGGTTTGGAGCAGGGGACCAGGAGAGAAGACGCGTTCATTGTTTTTACTTTGTTAATTTCCATAGCTGCCCGCGGGTTCCCAATCTCCAACCTAAACAAGACACCCGGGCTGAAATAGGACAACAAAAAGCGTGGATTAAAAGTCTAGGGTTTTCAACCAGTCTGCTTGCAGCAATGTTTCCTTACGGTAATTTACATCCAGTGAATTGGTCCGCCGTTAGTCCCAAGCGCGCTGGCGGGTGGGCGCCGGTATAACCACCACCTGGACCAAGACAGACCGTTTGTGCGTCGTGTAGGGGTAACCGAAGCTTGGCGGAGGAAATGTGAGTTGTTTTAAGAAAATTTCACAGGAGACTTAGGAGCGCCGGGAACCCCGACTTGTTCCTGACAGGTGGTGTTTCGTGGGCAGGGTGGGCGACGTGGGACACTCGGGCATTTTCTAAGGCGTGGTGCAACCCGCTGTGCCGGCCACCTCCTCGCCGGCTGTGCGCAGCCGAAGCCCCGACCCGTGCGCGCTGCCGCTCCCCGTAGTAGGCAAACAAAACCTGGCGCACAAAAACCTCGCCGAGGTCCCCGAAGACGCTGGTTTCGGGGTGCTCTTTTCCAGAAGGAGCTACCTGGATCTCGGCCTCAGCCCCTCTCTCTCTTCTCCGACATGTACGCCCTGCTTCGTTTTGATGGTAAACTGAAATACGAACTGGATGTGCGCCGGTCTTACCAGCTGCCCCGCGCGTTCCTCCGGGATTCCGGCGTCTCCGCTGACTCCTGGTCCCCGGGGGCCGGAGGAAGAAGGCAGGGAGAGGAGTTGCCAGGAACCCCGGGGGCTCCGCTGCGGGAGTGGCATGGAGAAGCTTTAGCTTCGGGGAAGGGCGAGCAGGGTGCGCAGGGGAGCGCCAGCGGCGAGAACGGAAGGAGCGCTTGGTGGGAGAGCTCCGAGCACCGGCACCTTCAGCGTCCCCAGCTTAGGAAGTTTGTATTCCGGAAGCAGAGCGACCTAGGCCCGGGCACCGTCGGGACTGGGTTGGCTGAGAGCGGCGACCTGCGTCTGGCGGCGCCAGCCCGGAACCACCCGGCCACGTGTGCCCGCAGCAGCCGGGTTGTCGGGGCTTCACCAGGGTGGCAGTAGACTGAGAAGGCAAGATTTCTAGGACCGAGCTGCGAAGCGGGAGTGCACGCTGCCGGCCCCCCGCGTGCGCACAGGACCAGCCTTTGGCTGGTGCAGCAGCAGCAGCGAGAAGGGCCATTTCTTGCCAACAGGGTTCTCCGACAGAAGGAAGCTGCGCCCGCCTGGCGGCAGCCAGCAAGCCCTCCCAGCTGCAGCTGCCATGGGAGAGGGGAGGTTCCGGCCACCTCCAGGAACCGCCCTTCCAAGGGTGCCTACAAATGTACCAATTCTGGAGGCGTCGCTTCCTCACCCAGTTCTGAGGTTCAGAGAGCCCCCAGGTGCCACCACTGGGGTGGCAGAGCCTCCAGCGCGCCCTGGAAGGTGGTTGCGGGCGCCCGGGCCAGTCCCCTGTCCCCCAGTCCTTTCTCT